TTCCCTACAAACTGAAACTAGAGTTTTATAGTAGTGTTGTGGGCGGAAATGCTTTTCTAAAAGCTCAGGAAATCACTTAATTGGCCTAGGAAGGGAATAAAGGAAAATTCATTCTCTCCAAACAATCTCGGAGGATTGGAGTTTTCCTAAAACGGTAAGAACAAATGTTCTGCCCCTCCCAAGAGTGATTTGTATATTCCCAGTTCAAAAAACATGAACAACCCTCCTCTCCAAGTCCAGGATTCCTTCTCTCTTCCTTTCTGCTGTTGGCTGCTTTGCAGACTCAGCTGGATTGTATATAATTTTTACAGTATCACAGTAGTTTCCATGGAGATGGCTTGTGACATCACAGAACATTGGGTATATATTCTTTGGATATGGAAAAATCAAAAGGGTAGAAAATTTTTTAATTGCAATAGAGAGAGGGAGAAGACAGCTTTCAGACTTGTGTATAGGAAGGAGGAAAACTCCAGAGAACAGGAAACAAAACTAAAGAAGGGTATGGTTGGAACCACGAGAGGGCTATTTGAAGACTATAAAATACAAAAAAAAAAAAAAAAAAAAAAAATGCAGAGGGAATTTGCAAGGAAATTAGGAGCAGAGGGTATGGATTCGGAGGGAAGTACAATGCATGATCAGGAGCTACATATCTTTAGGGACTAGTTCTTAGCAGTCCTCCATAGGTACTTTATCTGGTACGTAGTCAACCCTGGGTAGGTAAATGAGTACAGGGATGGGTGGATGGATACCTAGGTAAATATATAGGTGGAATATCATAACTGTGACCTCTAACCTAAAATGCAGAAATCTGTTACTTCTTTATAGTTTAAACCAGGAACTTCAGAAAGTCCATGAAACTCCTAAAATTGTATGCAGAATTTTGAATGCCTGTGTCTCTTCCCCTTTTAATTATGGAGAAAGTTCAGAATGACCTTCACCAGGTCCCCCAGTGGGTTGAGAAACTCTGGTTTAAACAAATCTGAGAATTATGTAACTTAACGAGCGACTGCACCCAATCTCTAAACTTCCTTCACACATACACAGTATGCATCCACCTCCTACCCTGTCTGTAACGTCATTTCTTGTCACTCTCTCCCCACTTCCTGTACAGTGCATCCATCTCAGGAGCCTGGCTGGTTGGAGGGGACTCTGAATGGAAAGACGGGCCTCATCCCTGAGAACTACGTGGAGTTCCTCTAACCATGGGCCCTGGCAGAACTGCTGAGCTTTTCATGGTGTCCATGACAACTGCTGATTCCATTGTTGTGGGCCATTGCTCTTCGCCGCTGAGAAGTGCAGGGTGACTGACTCTGCTGCTACCTGTCAACACGAATGTTTCTGTGAACTCTGGTGTCACCCATCTCCGTGATAATCTCAGCTGACGTGCGGTGATACTGCAAGAAACAGAAGTAAATCAGCGGAGGAGGCCGTTTGATTTTCATAACAAGAAAGGCTTACAAAGCTATTTCTCTCATTTAGCACCCCACGTGGGGTGCTCATTTTGTTTCAGTAGTCATCCAAACCCCGACCTTCTGAAAAAGGAAGTAAGTGAGATGTAAGCAGTCCCCAGGAGCTTACAGTATAGCTGGCTCTGACAGGGCTGGGCAGTGGCCTGAGATCCAGTCTGGATCCACAGCTATTGTTTACAGTAGACACTCTCTCTACCCCACCTCTAAATACTTGAGACCTGCCGTGCTATAGGCGGCTGGGTCTGTTTGTTTGCATGCAGGATGGAGAAGGGTTATGGCGCTGTTTACATAAGATCCAGTCTCTCACCATCTCTCAAGCAGCCACTGGCCCAGCACCAGCAGAATTCTGTCCAGTCCTCATGCAGGGGAGCACACACACCCCATGGCCCCCCTCCCAAGCTAGGAACTTCTCTGCCACCGAGGGCTGCCATTGCCTCGTAACCACGGCAACCCAACCTATTCTAAAACCAAACCAAAAAATAACACACTCTTTGCATGACGTATTTTTTTCTCCCTGCTTTCTGGCCGTTTTTTGAATGGTTTTCCAACAACCTGAAGCCGAAGATCAAGGTCTGCTTGGGGGCAGATACAATAGCAGCTGGGAACTGCTCCCTTTCTGATGAATTTCAGCAGCAGCAGGATATATTTGGAACAAACTCTAGTAACCTCTTGAGATTAAATTACATACAGGCTTAATATTTCTGTTCTTCCATGCAACTAGTGTCTGCTTTCTAGAGGGCAACATGCTGCCTCCCAAAGGGGAATACCCTCCCTCTGACTCATTCCCTCCCGTTCACCTGTCCCTTCCCCTGTCCTTGCCTGCCTGTAGCCCTTCACTGACTAGCCCCCTGGCAGTGCCCTGGGCTGCTCAGCACTGGTGCCCTGGCAGTTTTCAGGCATGATTCCTGGACTAACCCCATGGCCTCTAGTTTGAAAGGACATACATGTTCACTGCCACTCAGAAAAAGGGAATTGTTTCTCCGGCTTTTGAGGCATGAGACTAATATCATAAGCCATTGTGATTTAGGAGGACGCCAGAAGGTTGGGGCATGGAAGGTGGGATGGGTACCTTCTGAGAAAGAGAATTTCCTGGTCCAGAAGGGGCTGGGTCATGTGGAAGACCGCCTTGGGTGGGGAAGTTTGGCCTGGACATTTCAAATTCACTTGGCTTTCCAAAGAAGAGAGTCCCAGTATTTCCACACTTGAATGTCCTTGCAAGAGTGATTCTGGGCAGACAGACTCCAAAGTGAGGGACTGTCAAGCTCTCCAGGACAGGAGCCCCTCGGGATGATGGCGTTGTTCCAGAGTGTGTCCTGCTTCCGGAATTCCTCTTGAGGGAACTTTAAAGAGGAAAAGAAAAACTTGAATTGTGTTGAATTACTGTAACTTTTACATTTTTTTTTTGAAAAGATAAACGTGTAAATAGAGTGATTTGAAATACTATATGGCAAAGTTTTATATTTGATATTCTATAAGCTAGTTGCTTCACACATTTAAGCTTTGATTGCTGAACAGGTGTGTATACGAGGGAGAGAGGGGACACAAGGTCGAAGAGAGTCAAGATCATCCCTTCTCTGGCCTTGAGGAAGGAGAAGATATTTCCACACACTCGGCTGGCTCTTGTTGGTGGGCTTGACACGTTAATGGTGTTCAGTCTTCTTTATCCAGATGTGGTTTTTTGAGCATTTCTTGGGCTTTGGATTTGGAGATGGAAGGAGCATCTTCAGGCAAATGAACTTTTCCGAGAACTCCTACCCAGTAGTAAGATGAAGCTCAGGATTTAAACAGGTGAGGCCAGGGGTTAGATTTTTTTTTTTTTTTTTTCATTTTTCTTCTCAGGTGTATTTCTTGGTACCCCAAGGTACCAGGACAGAAGACGGGATAATTGCATGCTGCTTGTATCTTACTCTTCCGCGCATCTTCTAAGGCTTTATAAACGAGTCCAAGCTAGTTTGCAAATGTGTGTGTCTAAGTTCCAAGAAAACCTGGCTTCTTAGGATCTTTAGTTCTTGACATGCTGCTTCTTCCCCTTTCCCTAAACATGTTTATTCATCTCAGATTCCCTATAGCTCCAAAATAAGACAAAGAAAAACCTCCAAAGAGGGGTGGAGATTGTGCTGTTATAGCTTTCTAGATGACTTTAAAGTTAATAGGAGTTTGTCATTGTGATTCATTCCATCAGCTCAAGGATGACACAGCTATTACCCAGGAGCTCACCCAGCAGTGAGCGAGACACCACCACTGAATCAGGGAACAAGAATTAAGACTGGAGAAGACCGAGATGGGACTCAGGAAAGCTATCATTGAAAACCCAAGAAGAAAGGGTACATATGAGCAGGCTATATGAGCAGGCTATACCTACTCCCTGCGGACTTTGAACAGCTTGGGGACCTGTTCAAAGGGGCTAGAGGGACAAGCACACTCTATACCACTGTGCTTTCCAAATAGAAAGAGTGCAACATAATGCTTTTAACACATTGGACGTTTGAAATCACCACCTGCCCCATTGGAACCTTAACTAGAGCTAACTTGGGGATGGCCGGGAGTCCCAGGCCCTGGCTTTGGGAGATCCTCTGAAGCTTACCTGCCGACACTTGGCCCCAGCTTGACCACTTGGAAGCATGTGCCTCCCTCCTCATTTGCCTCTGATCCAAAGCCGAGGGAATACTGCCAATGGGAATTTTAGGTAGACCCCTTCCCAGCTTCTCTGGGCCGTGCTGGTCCCTGACGGATGGCTGCTCTGCTTCCTTTCCCTGGCCAGGCTCCCCTCCTTCCCATCATCTACAGAACTGGAGACACTGTTCAGAATATGAGCCGACAAATAAGAAGGAACTTGAAGGCTGAAAATGGGTTTTACCCTCCACTATCTTTGCTCCCCACCTCTAACTCTGTCTTCTGGAATAGGGAATCTTAGAGCACATTAGGAGAGTGAACTGGGTATCAGAGTGGAATACTATTGAGCAAAATCCCTGAGCTTTCCCAGGAGCCTCGTTTTGCTTTTGGAAGGCCCTGGGATCAGGTAGGCAGACATAGCCTGAGTCTTTTGGGGGCATCAAGATCAGTCTCTCACACCTCCTCCAGGTACTTAGCAGAGTTCTGTAGTTACACAATGCCATGCCTTGAGAAGACAACTAGTTTCACATTCTTCCCCCACCCCCCAGGCAAGTAAAGTCCTGACTTGCTCAAGACTGATGATATTCTCTTCTGTTTTCAAATCTGGACATAGAGGGATGGACCCCGTATAGCACTGCTGGCCTTTGTATCCTAGGATTGGAGCCATCTTTTAGCTTAGTGTTTTAGTATTTCTACAGCCAGTGTGTGTTTTCTTCTGTCACACCAAACTGGGGTTTGTTTGTTTGTTTCTTCAGCATAATTCCAGTTCATGTCCTCTTGCTGAGTGCTTTTTGGATAGAAAGGCAAAGAGAAGGAGAATAAATGAACAATCAGGTATTGGCCAACCGGCATTAGCAGCACAGAGTCATGCTAGTGACAAGGTGATTTCACTGTTGCCAGGACTCTGCAGTTATGTGTGCTATACCTGTAGCTCACAGGGAAGTCCTTCTATCATCAGAGTTTGTGTCTCTTGAAAAGAGCAACCCCTGTCACACCAAAAGCTCTGTCTTGACTGTATAGACTCTAAAAACATCCATGATTGTGGAGTAGAGAGACAGAAATAATCGACTGAACATAACATGATCAACTACTCATGACTGTCTACTGGCACCTTTCATCCTCTGGCTTCTGTTTCCAGAAGAAGCAAGTCCGGAACATCCATTTTTATAGACCCAGGACTCCCAGGTACAACAGTGGCCATCATGGCACTCACAGTTCGCCCTAGCATCGAATGTTTTATGAGCAACCGTGTTACCCAAGTAGGTAGCCAGCCCTGAAGGAACTAAACAGCCACTTAGCTACCTGACACTAAAAGGAATGTCCTGGGTATACTGTCTAGGGAGTTAATCTGTCATGACTGGCAAACTTGACAGTAATCATTTACCTAGACAGCCCTGCCCCACATCTCTTTTAAGTCAACTGGGTGTCCTCTCACACACCCTGTTGCGGCGTTTAAAAAATGTATCTTGTCATGCTCAAATGTGTTTGGCAGCCAGGCTGGTGTGCTGGGTGCTGAACCACTTTTCTTTAAACGTAGCCTCCAAATGACAGCAGCCATAGAATAATGGACCTTGCACAAACCTACAGCATGCCTGAGACCAGACTCCACCAAGTCATAATTAGCTTGTTTCCTTTCACCGCCTACAGTACTTGTCTAACTAAAGAGCTTCCCAAAGCACAGGGAGAGGCCATATAGAGAATTCAGACGTCATTCAGAGCCAGCCCTGGCTAAAATGTGATCTCCTAATGGAAGCACTTGTATTCTTAGGAGAAAAAGGATTGGGTATAAAGTAATGCTAAGAGCAGAAAGAGAAAGGCAAACCATACTGAAGAACTTTGGATTTTTTTAAAGAGGGATAAATATAGTTCTTAATAGGGGGGAAAAATCTATCACGTAAAAAGTTCACAGCTAATTTTTTTACAGAAGTTTTACAGGACACTACCACATGAAAACATTTTTCAAGGCAGAATGCCTTAGCAAAGGCTTAGCACAGTCCTGGACCCGTGTAAGTATAGGAATTACTATTACATCAAAATTCTATTTAGGGTAGTCAGCGAGAACCCAGAGTAGTGATAAAGTGTCAGAATTACCTGGAGAGGCCAAGACATTTGACATCAATCATTTCTACATCTACCATTTCTACCAAATTGTCCAAACAGACCCTACACGCAGCCTCCTTGGGTATCCAGATGCCAGGGTCAACCTTGAACCTGTGAAAAGAGGTTCATCTGATGATTCTTAAGTGTATACGTATTAGTGTGTGTTTGTGTATGTATGTGTACAGCTCACATTTACATATGTAAAGATACAGACTGTCTTCTAGAAAAACTCACATAAGCTGGCAGTTGCTGAGCCTTGACAGCCTTTAAGATTTGAAGTTTGAGAATCAGAGAAACAAGAGAGGCTATTGATTGACTATCAGAATGAGCAAGGATGTAATTTAAGTGCCATTTGAAAACTTTGTTCATATTTATCAGATGATTACTATCTATAGCTATATTCCTTATTAACTTATTAAGAGTCATGTTGAAAAAAAGATCAAACTCATAAACAATTAGTGGTTCATAGTAGGCTAGTGTTCACA